GCCAACTAATGCCCAGTGCATAGGCCCCAACGCTTTTAGAAAGTCAGGTCACTGGACAATTGTTGACCCCATCATTCCAAAGACCTGCCTGTGGCTCCTTCCTCAGTAGACAGTGAATGGCTCCGCGTACCAGGGCATTACATCCTTGGTTCCAATCTTATTGGACTAACAAATACATAGCCAAAGCCAAATTTCCCAGTATGAGACCACATACAGATTTGTGGCCTGAGTAGCCAACTGCCCCATGCCGCACAAATTAGTATGATGCCACCCATGAGCTGGTGGTCCCCATGTGCTTGGCTTGCTTTTAGAAAATAGTTGGGTCTTGGCCAAAGACCTAAAGTTGAGTCCCGAGACTGCCAAGGGCAGAGACATCTGTGTGAGGCCCTCAGGTTCCTAGGCACTGGAACCTTTTGCTGTTTGCTTTCTAGAGAGGCAACCAGGAATCCGTTCCTCAGGGAATGCCTTTGTACTGCACCCTAACTGGTCTAGATTTGACCCAAGAACGCTCAAGCAGACTGTTCTTCTGCACCACCACCTGGCCCCAGAATAAACAGGTGATGGGGCGTCCTGGCCAGAGGATGGGGCACTCTTACTCCCCACCTGAATAAAGCTTTTCTACAAGATGGTAGGAACGTGGATGGAAATGTCCAGGCAGTTCTTTTGAGGGGCAGTCAAGACCTGTTTCAAGGGGCCTGAGGAAAGTTGGAGGAGAGCAGGCGGACCCAGCTAGCAAGGAAAAAACAATGTCATCGGCTTACCTGCCACATCCATGCTCACCCACCGTTCCAGACCGCTAACAGCAATTTCTGGCTGCCAGGCTGTCCAGGCTGGACCTCCTCAGTCTCGGCCTAGTAGTTGGAGACTCACTGGAGGACCAGTTTCCTCTTGGTCTTTCCCGTAGGGCAGAACATTGCTCAGTGGCCAGTTTAGAGGGACAGCAGGGCCCTCATGGAGGACCATTCTCAAAGGACACTTCTTTGCCCATGACCCAAATGCCTGCACACATGGCACCGTGTGCCCAGTGCAGGGGCTCTTTGGAACCAGGGAGGCAGTAGATGGATGCTGATTAACCATAGTAGCCACAACCTGAGCACGCCTAGCCTCTTTCCGTTTCTCCCGACTCAAGCCTCTCATTCCCCATCTCTTTTGTAGACAGTAGCATTGGCAATAGTGACCATCTGGCCTAGAGCTGGTCCTCCACTAACCTGTGGGGCTTCTTCTGGCTGGCTCCTCAGGAGACATGGACGAGATGGAGCATGTTTCTGCTGGTTTGGGTACTGGGACTTCTGAGCATGTCTTCAGGTGAAGAAAGAGGTGCAGAGAAAAAGGGGCGGGCAGGTGGGTGTGTGGGATGACTGAAGGTGATGGAGGCGCAGGCAGGTGCATCTCTAAGTGGCAGCAGTGTGTGGATGTCATGAGAAGCCGCGCCATGTTCTGACACCAGGACATCACTTTGCAATGCGTCTTTTTTTATCCCTTCCCTTGCACCATGGGAGTGGTAACAAAAAAAAGTTTAATACTCAAGTTGCCAAAAATCTTAATCTTCCATTTCCATCGACTGTGACCAAAAGTGATCTACCAAGAGGATGGAGAAAAACCAAACCCACTGCCATCAAGCCTGACTCTCACTAGTAAGACTGAGCAGAACTATGCTAAAGGGTTCTAAAGGCCATCGGTCTTCAGGGAAACAGCCTCATCTTTCACAACAGAGTTGGCAAGCTTGACTCACTGACCTTGTGGTTAGTAACCCAATGTTACTGACCCACAGCCCCACCCACTATTGAGCGGTTCGGACTCAGTGACCCCACAGGACAAAGAACTGCCCCCTAGGATCTCTGAGGCTGTCAATCTTTAGAGACGCTGAGCCTTAGCTCTTTCCCGTGGACTAGCGAATGGGCTTGACCTTGGGCTTAGCAACCCAACACCTCAGCCACCGTGTCACCCGGGTCCCTTAGGGCTGTGCAGGACCATACACGTGTGGAGACCCTGTGGGGACTGCCCTTGAGTGTGAATGTGTACTTGTCATATTTAAATAGTTACACTTTGTTTTTAAAAGGTTTAAGGACTTGATTTTATTGGCAATACGACGCTTTTGACCATCTTTGGTTGTGCAGTGTCCACTGGTCCGCAGATTAGGTGGGCTGACGATACCTGCGGGAGCCAAGGCTCCCGCTGTGACAAGGCAGTGAAGGTGGCGATACTAGGCCACCTGGAGGGCCTGGGAGCGGAGGAGCCTCAGGTTGAAGTTCCCCAGGAAGTCCGGGCACCAGAAATGGAATTGTGGCCCAGCTTGGAAAAGGCCTGGTGTGGAAGCAAAGTGCGGCCAAGACCCCATTTTGTCAGGAATCTCATTTTGGGAAACGGATTCTTCCTGGATCCAGAAGTTCACCTCGGGTCCCGGTGTCACCTGGCTGGCAGAGGGTGCGAAGCTGGGCCTTGGAGAGAGGTGCCGGTCCTGAGACCCAAAGGCTCTTCCTCCAGTGGTAGGTGAGGCTTAACCTGGGGCGGGTCTCCCTTCACTGGGCTTCTGGGTGCCTCCACTGCTCCTGGCACCCTCCCTGACACCGTGCATGGGACCGGCCAGCGGCAGAAGGCAGGCTGCACAGGGCTGGCCCCTAGGTCTGCTGAGGGTCCCGGCTGGAGATGGCCAGCTCGCCATCAGGCCTGGTTCGGCTTCCCCGGCGTGATGAGCAGCACCACGGTGGAGGCGTAGAGCAGGTAGCCCATGAGGAGGAGCAGGGAGCAGGGCAGGGGCCCTATGCAGAACAGGGAGGCCACAAAGAAGGCCAGCAGCAACAGGAGCAGGGTGCGGTAACTGCCCAGGAAGCGCAGGCTAAGCCTCGGGCCCTGGGCCTGGCTGGTAGCACGGGCCTGTCCTCCAGGACTCATCAGGCGCCGCTGGGCCAGCACAGGCTCTGTGAGGTGGTAGCGGCAGAAGCTGCCCAGGAAGTCAGCCCGGGAACACAGGGCTACCATCTGGTCTGCAAACTGAAGAGACAAAGGCAGAGATGGGATGAAGAGGGAGCCCACCCCTCCCACAGGCAGCCTGGGAGGACAGGGCCTGCCCTGCCCCACTCACTCTGTGGTTGATGGCCGAGGACAGGCGGAAGAGCAGGCGGACCAGGCCGGCGATCTCATAGCTCCGGATGGGCTGCAGCTCGGCGTCGCCCTGGTACTCAATCTCGAACCTCCGTAGGCCATTGATGATCTAGCAGCCAGGGAAGGAGTGGGCCCAGTGACACGGGGTCCCCAAGGGAAACCTTTTGCGCATGCAGCCACCCTGCAGAGCGGGCCCCCGCACCTGGTAGCGGCCGAGCGGGGTGAGCACCAATCCGTTCTCTCCCACAATGCAGTCTGGGAGCTGCCTTTTCCCGTTCTCATCCTGCGTCGTCCCCAAGGCAAGCGTGAGCTGGGCCAGCTGGGCATCACTGAGCTGTCAGGAGACACGCCGAGAGAGGAAGAAAAAGGCTGTCACCTCCCCACAAGGGACTTGGATATGGACCCTCCAAGAGAGGGGCCATCTAGTTAGGGTGGGGGGCCCTGGGGGGGAGCCCAGAGCACCTACCCGAAAGATCTGGCACAGGTACTCTAGGGCCTTCTCCAGGTACTCGTCGGTCTTTCGGATGCTCTCCTGGCCCCCTTCGTCCAGGTCAGTGGTCGGGTAGGAGCTGCCGCGGTCTGCGGAGCACAGGCCCAGCCACGACAGCACGGAGCGGCCGGCTGTGTTCTCAGAGGGCTGGTCCGAGATGGACTTGGCGGTCTGCTTGGCCTGGGTGATGAGCTGAGCCAGGCGGAGGACCTGCAGGGGCACACGCAGCCGCAGTTTGGGATGGGGGATGGGGATGTGTGCCCTCAGCCTAGAGATCAGGTGGGCTTGGAGGCCAGGGGAGCAGTTTTAAAGGTTTCTAAATTAGAGAAGAGATGCTCTGGTGACCAGTAAGAGCCTTGGGCTGCTAATCACAAGGCCTGCAGTTCAAAACCACCAGCCGCTCCTCGGGAGAAAGATGGGCTTGGGCAGTCTGGGAAGGAAAACCCACAGAGGCAGCTCTCCCCTGTCCTACAGGGTGGCTGTGCATTGGCATTGAGTCGAAGGCAGCGAGAAGTAGTGAGTACAGTGGAGAGGTGGTCTCCGCTCTTGAAGGGCATGAGAAGTGGGTGGGCATCTCTCCACAGCCCGGGTGCCTGCCCCCACTCACCAGGGCTCGAACCTCGGGCCCAAACATCGGGGTGTACGTGCAGTCCTGGCCCTCCAGGCTGTAGACGTGGCTCTTCACCTTGAAGGCGGCGTCGGTGACGGCAGGGGGCCAGGACGACAAGAAGCTGCCCGTGAACGTCGGCGTCATGAAGCTGCGATTTTGGCGATGTGGGAGCACTAGCTCGGGCTCCAGGAACAACTGCTCACCTGCAGGTGGGTGCGGGGAGAGGGCCCCGCTGCACAGTCACCTTCGAGGCCCAGGCCCTCTGCAGGTGAGTACCGTATTTACTCGAGTAGAAGCCAGCCCGAGTATCAGCCGAGGCACCTAATTTTTACCACAAAAAAAACATTAAAAAATGTGCTGAAAAATCTCGGCTTATACACGAGTATGTACGGTAGTTTGCCTCAAGTGGGCAGCTCCACCCACACAACGGGGGTCTTATGGGTGGGCTAGAAGCTCTACAGAGGGGTGACTGGGCCTGGAGTCCGAAGTTTGTGGCTGAGACTTCCGACAGTCCCAGCTGCCCGCCCCCAAAGGCAGTAGGAGACGGAGAACCAGTAGTCCCAGAGGTGGTCCGGGCTCCTGGGCTCCAAGCCCCTCGATGCATGGACACCCCCAGGAAGGGAAGGGTGTGAGCGTGAACGAAGCCAAGCCTTGCCCTGGGCACATGAGGCAGCAGGCTCACTCACCTTTCTGGATCATCTCGGCCAGGTTGGGCTGGGCAAAGACTTTGGCCACGCGGAAGACCATGAGCGCAGTCTTGGGGCTGACCAGGTCCGTGCGGAGCGCACGGCTCAGGAAGGCCACGAACAGCCTGCTGTACAGCAGCAGGTTCTCTTGCACAAAGGGCGCCCTGGGGGCCAGGACAGGGTCAGGACCGGCCGGTGTGGGCCTGGGGCCCACCCTGAATCCCTAGTCCTCCATGTCTGGGGTATTTAGATATAGAAGGCCAAGACTTAGGCCCTCTGATGACAAAATCGCCACGGATGGGGTCCCTTGAAACCCAAGTCCTGACCCATCCGTGCTACCATTCCAACCTGCCCGTACCAGAACGCGCTGATGTGAGCAAAGCAAGTTAGATGCAAAAGGATGAATCCTGCCAGAGTTCGCTTCTGCCAAGCCTCTCGAAGAGACAGGTGACCTCAGAGAATAGCGCTCATTAGTAGGTGCCAGGGGCCTGCTCTGGGGCGGGTCCTGCTGATAGGGCACTGCGTTTGTTGTGAGGGGTGACTGCTGGCACAACACGGCGGATGTCATGAATTCGCTCAACTTTACATGTAAGATCATGCTAAACCACAAGCATGCTCAGGAGCGGTTGTCTGAAAGCACCATGGGGACACCAGGCAGCCAACAGTGAGTGAGGGCAGCAACAGAAGTCAGAGCGGCCGGCCGTGCAGGGGCAGGGGCTGACTCGTGGAGGGCAGCGAGGAGACGGCAGGGGAGCCCGTAGGGCGGGGGAGACCGTGGCCAGACACTGAAGTTGAGAGGAAACGGAAGGGCAGAAGGTTGAAGGCACAGGAAGAGCCCCTGGGTCTCCAGGGGGGTAAGTCCAGGACCCCTCAGAGGATAGTTAAGTTATAGGCAGAACCTATGTCCAGAGCAGCCCCCCACCCCCCCCTTCCTGGGTCCACTGGTCAGGCGCGGGTATCAGCTCACCATCTCTCTGCCACGCAGCGGAGCTGGACCTCACTGCTCTGGGCCTGCTTCTCGGGTGCATACCTCCATGGCTGTAGGTAACTCAGCCACATCTCCAGGACCTGGCAAGAGACAATAGTCCTCTGTGGTTGGCCCAGGGCACGGGCAGAGCAGAATGCCCCTGCTACGGGGACAGGTTTACAACCCCACTGCCTGGCTGTCCCCATGTCTGGTGTGGCTTCAGTGACTAGCCACCAGCAGAGACTCCCCAGCACCCAGCTCCCGCCACAGGTATGGTAGTGACATTTTGCATCCACTTGGATTTGTATCAAAGTGCAGGGGTGGCATTTAACCTGTCAATCAGGTCACAGCCTGATGATGCCTCCTGGGAGGTGTGGCCTTTTGATAAGGGAGAAGCTGGGAACCTCTCCCCCCGACCCCTTCACTTTTCGGCCCGTTGGGACTCTGTGCCTGCCTCAGGGTGGGCTCATGAGAGTTGCCCCACCCTGAGAGCTGTTAGCATCCTGCCATGTTGGCACCGATATTGGGTCCCCAGGACTGTGCACCTGTGATCTCCCTGCACCCACTCCACCTCTCTGCTTCACCCCTGCAGCTACGTGGGTAGAAGAGGGCCCCGAGTTGGACTGGACGACGGGCTGCCTTCCTGACATGAGACTACGACTTGATGGAACGTGGGAGTCTCACGGCTTCGCTTCTCTAGAAGACCCAGCTCGGCAGGTCCCGAGTCCCATCCGGCCCCTCTCGAGGCTCCGGCAGTCCCACCCCCGCGACACGGCAGGGCCGACAACTCACGGCACGGAAGGATGCATCCAGGGGCCAGTGGCCAAAGCAGTGCTGGAGGAAGAGGTAGAGCTTCTGCTGGACGAAGCGCGGGATGACAGCCCTGGGGGTGGGGGTGGGGGTGGGGGCGGGGTCAGGGGCGGGCCGGGGCTCTGTGCACCGAGGGCCGGCCTGCTCGCAAGGAGCTGGGCAGGTGACCACAGACCACTCAGCGCGCCCTACTGCCGCCAAGAGAGAAGCTGAGGGTGAGAGGAGAGCTCCGCAGAGGCCCGACCCCCCAATGCTGATGCCCTTTCCTGCCCAGTCGGAGGCAGCTGGGCTCTCTTCAGGGAAGAGCATGAAGTGGGTCAGAATGTGTGTCTGGGGGGTGGGGGTGGGGGTGAGAGAAAGACTGACAGCTGGAGACCTGGCTACGCCCACCTCGAGAACTGAGACTCATGTACAGCTGCCCTAACACAGGACCAGGGGCCTGCCCCACACCCACCGTTTGAACTCCTCCAGGGGGCTGGCGGCGTGGGAGTGGGCAGAGGGCGAGGCCTGCTCAGGCTTCAGGCTGTTGGAGAAGGCATGCAGGTGCTTCAGCAGCAGCCGCACCACCAGCACGTGCTCCTCTGTGGGCATGAACGACTCCTGCAGTTGGGGACAGATAGAGTGGCCTGGGGAGCTCCCGTAGCCCACATGGCGGCGGGGGAGGGGAGCCCACCACCCAGGTGACCGCTGAGTCTGCCCAGCGTGTGCCAAGCCCCGCAGACTCCAAAACCTGTTTCCCAGCCTGGTTCCAGGCTCCTTTCCCTACACATGCTGCCTGTAGGGCCCTGAGCCACTGCTGCCCGGCTGCATGTCTGCAGGGGTCCCCCCACTGCCGGCCAAAGGCTATGTGCTGCAGGGGCCGGACAGGCGCGACGCCACCCCGCTTCTGGACAGCCCACCAGGCCCATTTTCTGGGTTCCTCACCCACCCACCTGCTCCTCTTTTGGCCCAGAAGGAAAGAAGGGGAATAGCTAACCCACCCCCCAGCCCCCGCCAATAAAGGTACCAGAAATCCTGGGTGCCCAACCTCCCAGTCCCTTGGAGAGCAAACGCCCTTTGTCGCTGTGGGTTGCTCTGCTCTGGGTGGGCAGTGATCCCCACAGGAGGTCAGCCCTTGGCTCCTCCCAGCTCGCCTACTGAGGAGCTCAGGGGAGTCTATTCCAACCTAAACCCTGAGGCCAACCCAGCGCCTGCGCCCTGCAGTTGCCCACCATGATGATGCTCTGGCCGGCCCAGAGCGGCCTGCCTGGGGTTAAGACGAGGGAAAGAAGCCGCTTATCTGTGGCTTGCAAGCTGTGGGCAGCGCAAGTGCCCTGGTTTTGAGGGAAACAAGGTGTGTAGATGGACTTTTGTCTCTTAGGAGAGCCCCTGCTGCCCCCTGCTTTTCGCAGTGCCCTCTCCCAACCTTACCTCTCTGCCCCCTTTCCAGGTCTGGAGGCTGCCACTTGGCCTCCGAAGACCAAGACTCCCTACTCGCCTCCCTTCACACACACACTGTCTGTCTGTCTGTCAAGCCAAACATCCTGTCCTCTTATCTGGTCCCCGGGAAAGCTCTTAGAATCAAAGCTACCTTGTCCTTCACCCCACCCCTCAAATCAGGGTGCTCTCCTGCATGCCGGAAAGGGCAAGCCCAGGAGGCTGTGGCTGGCGTACTCCCCCATCTCTCTGCAGTGTGGGTGGCCCGATGAGCAGAGAGACACCTGTGCCCATTCCAGTCTTGACACTTGCCTGTGATGCCCTAGTTTCTTGCCTTGTCCTAAAATTCCT